ACAAATACGCTCTCCAAAATGAGGGAAGTTGGGATACTTGAGAAATGTGTGGTCTTACCATTTCCACCTCAACAGTGACTAAGTTTCACTTCCTGTTTAAGTGCTGTGTGAGCTCTGAACTCACCCTTTCTCCTCCCAATCTACCTTTTGTGTCTAGCCGCTGCTGTGTTAAGCTGCCTGGCATAGTCTTGCCACTCCTCCTACTGTGACCTAAGAAACAACCTTAGGTTTCTCTGGACTACTGCACAATTCGCTAAGCTCAAAGCTCTCATATGTGGCCTTCAGTCAATCATGCAGTACCACACGATTAACAGGCATAATTTATATTAAGCTATTAAATAGACTGCTCAAAACCCACTCTATATGGGGGTTCCCAAATTTATCAAGTGACCATTTTAGAAAAGATTATTTAATGAGGCAGAAGCCCAGACTAATGGAAAGACAGATTTAACCTACTTTTTAGAAAGTCAGGAAAATTTTTGTAATGTATAATGAACTCTAACGTAACTTTCTACATAAACAACTATGTTACCTTTCCATCCTTCCCCCAAGTACTTCTTAATGCTGTAACACACTCCAACTTATGTTCTACTGGGTGCAACAGATTTACCATTTTGCTTTTAAAACTGCTGCCTAAGGCACATGGCCCTGCTCTAAGTAGTATGTGCTGCAATTATAAGCCAACACATTAAACATCTAGAAAAGGAGAAATCTGAAAGGATCAGTTTGCCTCACCTGTGACATTAGGATCACGTCTTGTTCTCCACTGTGGGACAAATACAGTGATGTTTCTGTTGCCAAGCTTCCAAAAATATTCAACTGCAATTGCAATTCCACGACAAGAAAAGAACTTTTTCAGACCGTGGCTAGAAGAAAACAAAATTTATTTCAGCTTAAAGTATGTTAAAGTTTCACCATGAAAAAGTGAAAAGGTGAACTCCATATACAACAAAAACAATTACAACAAAATTCCCTTTAATACTCTTTTACATTCTTTGGCATCCAGTTGCATAGTTTATGACTTTGCAAAGCCAAGACAGAAGCCTTTGCATGACATGTGATTCTTAACAGCTTTATGATTTTTCTTGTACTTTGTTTAGTTAATTTAATTGAATGTGCTACTGGGACAGAAGGCAGTTTGAGCTTCATGGTAATACTTGTTTATTGCACTTTTTATTTCTGTTTTTGCTTCTTTTAGAGAGCCCATTCCAAAGAGTCCTGCCTGGTCACTGACCTCTAAGAATATTTTATATATTTTATTAAGAAACTTGTTGCTGGGGGTACCTGGGTGGCTCAGTTGGTAGGGCGTCTGCCTTCAGCTCAGGTCATGATCCCGGGTCCTGGGATCAAGCCCCGCGTCGGGCTCCCTGCTTAGCAGGGAGCCTGCTTCTCCCTCTCCCTCTGCTGCTCCCCCTGCTTGTGCTCTCTCCCTCTCAAATAAATACAATCTTTAAAAAAGAATATAGAAAAAAAGAAAGGAAAAAAGAAACTTGTTGCTGAAGCAGAAGTAGACAGGACTCTCCCATGACGTGGTCCTCACAACTTCCAAAGGCTGCAGATGCCTCCAGCTCCAGGGCTCCATACCCCTTCTAGGGAACTGTGAAACCTACTCAGTTTACAGCTTCCTGGAGATAAGCTGAGGACATGATTCCAATGGAACTATCTGGGGGCCATGGCAAATGATTTTACTGAAGGAAGCAGAAAGTGCCAGGAGCAGATGCAAACAAGGAACACTACAGAACGTAAGTCAGGGTATGATTTTCTGTAAAGGGCCAGACAGGCCTTGCAGGCCATATGGTCTCTGCCGCACCACTCAAGTCGGCCAAGTGGAAATGAATGAGGGTGGCTGTGTTCCTTATTTACAAAAACAGGTGGTGGCCATATTTGGCCCACAGTTCGTAACCCGTGGTATAGTGGATTAAAAACTGACCCCACCCAAAAATGTGGTAACAAATTTCAAAAGAAACGAGAAAAAATATTTAAATTGTATTCTCCCACAGTTAAGTAAAAGTAAGGATTTTTAAAAAAGGGTTTTCAAAGTTTGAATTTTGTAGGTGGTAATCCATTTGTCTAACCATGAGTATTAGAAAGAAAAAAAAATCAACCCACCCAAACTTTGAAGCTACAGTTTATGAAATGAGCATAATCTATCTTACTATTTCAACAGTCACTGAGGTTCCAGAGACAGGAAATCCTGCATCTTCAGTCCTGTCTTCTCTTCATGTCTAGTGTCTCCATGTCAAAACCACCTGGTGGAGAATTCCTTCACTTAAAATTCCTGCCACCTCAGGCACAATGTGTCCCAAGTCAACCCCAGGCTCTCCCAATTCCCATCCCTCCTCAAACTTGTTAGACAGACCCTGAAATGCAGCCATGAGGCCTTTGATCCTGCTCAGAGTCTTTACTGGCAGGATTCCTCTCGACAAACGCAGGGCACGGCTTCAAGGTCCCCTCCACACCCAACTAGTCAGGAGGGATCTAGCCACCACCATGTGTCACCACATTCATTTCTGGCCACGTTTGCTTGCCATCTCCCTCTTCCTGGGCAGTGAGCTTTCTTTTTGCTGCAATCTTTGTAGACCTTCTCTTAACCTTCCTCCAGTGCCTCGGGACTCAATTCAGACCCTCTTCTATGAAGCCATTTCTAGAAACAGGCCCTCAATCATCTCTCCTCTTTCCTGTCTTGCTATCCTGTACTGTCCACTGGAATGACAGAATTTAGGAGATGGAACGGAGTTAGATTCCTGTTAGATAAAAAGAACGAAAGCCCTGAGAGGCTGAGCAACTTTCCCAGGCTGCACTGCCACAGGGTGGTTGCGCTGGGATTATTCAGGCTTCCTTATTCCTGGGCCCTTCCTACCATCCCACAGTGGGACTGTCCCCACCTAAATCTATATTCTCACGAAGCAGGAATGGGCTGGACATTCAATAAACTTCTAACACGCAGAAGAGCAGCTCAGAAACTCCTCCTTTAAGAGGCTAAAGCCCACGCTCTTCTCAGTGAGTCACAAATAAGAGACCGCACCGGCATCAGCTTTGCTCCAGAAAACACATGCAAGTAAACCCATTCTCCACGAAGTAACTCAGCAGTGGTTTATCTAAAAGCATTCAAAATATGGCAAGAATGTAGCACCAGGACATCTGTTACTGGAGAAAGGCTAGAGGTAGTTTTTGTAGGCGTCATCTTTTTAGAATATCTTTAAAAATCATTCTAATTGCTTAACAGCAAGAACACACCCAGAGTTAATGTCAACCACAGCCTGAACATGAAAATCCAAAATACAACAGCCTACTGGTTCTTAAAAAAACCAAGGGATATGTATGTTAGTTAAGTCTGAAAAGAACAATCCTTGAGAGAAATGCACTAAAAAAGCTTGTCAAGTTTGGCTTATTCATCAGCTACAAATGTGTGCGAACTTCTTCTCTCCCTATAAAGCTTTTGACTGCAAAAGTTCAAAGTGGGTGGAACCCAGCTCTGTGCCACTGGGTCCCGGAGAAAAATGAAGGGAAATTCAAGTAGATGCAATCCCGCTGTCCTGTACCACGCTCAAACTTAGACCGGAAGAAATGGCGTTTCCAGAAACATTAGCTCTATACTAATTTCCAGTGTTATCCTCAGTGATAAGATCAAATCACTATGGATACCCTGAAAAATCTTGAGAGCTGTTTTATGAATAAAAAGAGCAGTTCAAAATTCTAGTGGAAAACACAGAGTTAGACAGAAAATAGAACTACACAAGAAAATCAAGTGGAGCCAAGTTCGTGTCCTCTAAGTAATATGGAAGGTCCCTGCTGCTTAATATGGAAGGTCCCTGCTGCTTCCCACTTCAACTCCCCCACATCCTGGCTAGGCAGAAACGCGCCTGCTCACCTCCCTGCAGTCAAGCCAGAGGAACTTGTTGACAGGTAGACCCAGACCAACTGTCTATTTACACTCAAAGACAAAGGATTTACATACCGTAACTCCTCCTCTACTTCTGAGAAGACCAAAGCTCTGGGGCTTCCAGCTCCAAATGCACCAATGAACAGATAATAGGCCCGAGAGGCCAGGTGTGTGGGCTTTCAAGGGAGATTTAAACTACTGTTTCATGTAGTTGGAAACAAGTTACATCATCCAGTTGTTTTCCATATTATAGCAGGCAGTAAACTGGAAGGAAGACGGTCCCAAGCAGAGAGGAGATGGGCAAGATACCTGATTAAAAACTCACAGCAGTGACAGAACCAGACCCGGGAGTGTAGGGGAAATGGTTAAAAAAACTCTTTTTGAGTTACCCTGGGAAAGAGTCATTTCCTTCTATCGTTTCCACTTAATAAAAATAGCCACGGGACCCTGATATAGAAGACTAGCATGAAAAAAATGGTTAAAATACATAGTGCTGGCAAGTGAAGGGGCAAACCTCATCTACACGGAAAATTATCTACCCAGATAAGTCAGGTGTCCTAATGCTGAAGTTTCAAACTGACCGAGTCTGAGTGTTATCTAGCCACTACTGTGATGTCTAGCCGTGTACCGCAAACAATTTCCATTTACTCATCATTTGACTCATTCATGGTGACAAGGGGAAAAACCAAGTAAAGATATGCATGATTAGCAGCATGAAGTGGGTATTTTGGAATTTCTCACAGTGTGTGTGAATTGCAGACAGCACGCTGGATAGACTAATATAATAAAGGACTGGCAGAAACCCAGGGATGGGTAGGTCTGAGCTGCTGAGTAGGATCAAACCAACAAATCCTATTGTTTAAGGGTTCAAATTTCATTTTTAACTACTTCCCCAACTAGGTGGGTCAAATAAGTGAGGCTTACTCAGCAATGCTTAAACAACTCGAGACTTAAGTACTTTATATTGCCAAGGCCTGAAAATTCCAACCTCACCTTCTATGGGAGGAGGCAGGATGTATGACGGCTCTGGGAGCCTATGGGCCCACATCTCCTATCTGTGTAATCTTGGACAAGATTTTTAAGCCACTTCATGTTATATAAAAGTATTGGATCAATTTTATCTCACAAATCAGTGTGAAGATTACATTTTAAAAGAGAAAAGTACCTGACACATAACAGGTGTTTCAGTTTTAAGATTCCAAATACTTGCTGAAAAATGTCTCAGTCAAAATTTAATCTAAATTGATCATTGGAATAGGAAGTTATAAAAGAGTGGTGAAAAGTCATTTTAAAAATCCTAATATTTCTTAAGTCTTTAGTTCATTCATTCATTCATTCAACAAAATGTTACTGAGTGCCCACCATGTGCAAGCACCATGGACCTTGGGGGTATTTCAATGAACAGGACACATATAAATCACTTCCTTCATAGAATGTACAATCTATAATTCACATTTACTATCAAAGGGATTTCAAATAAGGGTTGATTTTTTCCCAAATTTAAAAAACCTGAGCTGAAATTCACATCACATAATCATTTTAAAGTGAACAATTCAGTGGCATTTAGTACATTCACAGTATTGTACAATCAGCACTTAGATCTTGTTCCAAAACATTTCCATCACTCTCAAGTAAGACCCTGTACCTATTAAGCAGTTTTCCTCCAGAATAAGAGTTAATTTTAGTTACTGATATTTTCAGATCTTTATTAGATTAAGTATAAGTCTGTCATTTTGGATAATACATACTTATAAATAAATGTTGCTTTTAAACTGAGACATCTGTGAATTCAAAGAAAATTGGAATCCTCCCCAGATAATCAGCTTTTAAAAGAAAAAGTAATGAAAGTCTGCTCGTGGTTTCCTTTAGTGCACTAATTCAGTGGTTTTCAAAAGAGATGGCACTGTACCCAAGGGTGTTAGGAAATACGTAGGAGTGTTTTGGGGTGTCATAATGACAGGGGGAGGTACTATGGGCAAAGTAGGAGGGACTAAATATGCAAAACATCCTGTCACGCCCAGGCAGTACCACTCTAAATTCCAATAGTGACCCCTCTGAGAAATACATTAGTTACTACTCCCAAAAGGTTTTTAAATAGTGTCATCATCAGTGCTCATTCTATGTTAATTTGCATTTCTTAGTCCTTGAACACCAATTTGGAACATCTTTGCACTTACAGAAATTGAAAAAGGATTAATATTACTCACAATCATGACCTAAATTTTATATCACCACTTGGCTCAAGAAATTGTAACAATGAGGAACTGGTGCTGGGCTTGGACTGTGGGTGACTGAAACTGCACTTCACATTTTTACTTAGATAATGCTATGCAGCTGTGGGCCATTTGCTGGGTTTCCCCGAAAAGAACTGCCAAAAAGCAAAGTGAAATGACAACAAACAGTATTATTTAGAAATGAAGACAAGTATATTACATATTTTTCCAGCCTATCTTTAAACTTTAACATGGGGAATGCTGGGATTTTTCTTTCTTTTGACAGCAAAATACAGCATCAACAATTCAGTCAAAAAATAAAAAGAATCCTTATTTTAAAAAATAGACATTAAAGTACTTATGGATAAAATGACACAGCTGAGCTTTCCCTCAAAATAACTCCGGTGAAAGGCAGTAGGTGGGGGTATAGGCTCAACAAGACTGGCCAGGAGCTGAGAACTACTGAAGGTGGGGGATGGGCACATGGAAATCCCAAATTCAAAAAGGGATGCATTCTATTACCTTTTAATGTATTTGTTTGAAAATTCTAGTAAAAAATTAACAAAACAAAAAATAAATATATAACTTATAGAATTCTTTGGAGAGAGGCCACACACACTATTCGCTAAAATTCAGAAGAGTGTATCACCATCTTCATCCCATGTCCAGGGCCCCTTTTCTTAAATGACAGCCACTTAAAATGCCAGACCGTGCAGAATTCTTCAAAATCAACGGAGTGACTGATTTTGAAAACTGGAGAGAGACTTTACCTACCAGTTGTTGAAATGGCATGATAAAGATGCCCTTTAGGACAGGGCAAAAGGCAACAAAATACAGCAAATGAAACTCAGGCAAAAACCTACACGAGGTCAAACAATGGGGCAGATACTCTAACTTGATCCCCTCTCCTCTTCATAGTCACTGTATTAAACCACCCCTAGAGAAGAAACCCAATCCCGTACCAGATGTATAAAATCAGACTCTTCAGAGGGTTCCAAGACAGGTTAAATAGAAATGATCATTTAGGGCGCCTGGGTGGCTCAGTTGGTTAAGCAACTGCCTTCGGCTCAGGTCATGATCCTGGAGTCCCGGGATCAAGTCCCGCATGGGGCTCCCTGCTCAGCAGGGAGTCGGCTTCTCCCTCTGCCCTCTTCCCTCTCGTGCTCTCTGTCTCTCATTCTCTCTCTCTCAAATAAATAAATAAAATCTTTAAAAAAAAAAAAAGAAATGATCATTTAACTCTTTTTTACTAAAAGCAAATATACAAGCTTTTAGTAGCAGCAGAGGACCATAAAGAAGCCTCAAACTGATGAATTTCCTTAAAAAGGAAATTGCTATCACTCTGTCAACAAAGTATAACAGAAATACAGCACATCCATTATCACTGCACTCCTGCCTAGAGACCTAACATACTATAGTATAAAGAGACAGAAAAATCTTTTTTGGCTTTAAGCTGCATCCCCGTATTCAGAACCTAATGATTAAAAAAAAAAAAAAAGCTAATGATTTAAAAATCTCTATACTGTTTATCGCTGACTAGGCAATGCAAAGTGAAGACAAATTTTCTATCATCTCTCGCCCTCAGAAACAGGTTCAGCAGGATGAAAAGCAAAGTTTACAACTCCAGAAGATGGAATAACACAACTTTCCAAACAGCTGTTTCATGGTTTTTTTTTTTTTCCAGGTAAGAAAATCGATCACCTAGACGGATGCATAGCCTAAGTTCCTACAACTACATGTAATTCCGAGACACTGCTTAGGACCCTATTTACAACTATAATATAACTTGCAGAGAGTGGACTTACGTAATTGCGACATTGCTCCCATCTATAACAATGTGCTTCAAATCCGTTCTTCCTGGCTCATTTTTTAATTCCAGCTTGTAGGGTACTTTCAGAGTATCTCGGAACCTTTGAACGCCAGTGACTGAGGAATCAATATGATCAGACGTTCCCGCCAACCTTGCGTCAGTAACTGAAGGTAACAGCTGGGGCAGTGGCATTGGTGGAGAAAGGGGTGGACAATTTGGCTTCGACTGGGGAGAGCTACAACACCCTGAACGGTTTTCACAGGCAGACTTCATATTACTTGGATGTAAGGGCTCTGCTTGCTGCTGCAAACCATTTTCAGGAAAAACTGGAATTCTGGGCTGATGATTTGAAGCTCCTCTTGAAACAAAACTGACAACTTCTTTGGGACTTGAAGGGACAACAGAGGGTGAAAGGCCGTCAGTTTCAAGGTCCATGTTACAAACGTAATTCTGGTTTGAACTCCAGATTTCTTGTTTCTGTTCTACTGGCGCTGTTCTGAAAGTATTAATTTTGCAATTTGAGGTACATGGTTTTGATTCTTTGAATGGTAACTGAGAAAATTTTTCTACCATATTTTGCTGTGTGTGAGTTTGTGTTTTCTTTGGAGTGGAATCTGTTGTAAGCTCATTTATGCTGCTACAAACACCTTTGTTTTTGGTTCTATTGGTCTCTGGATACAAAGTACCAGGTGAAAATTCTCTGTCTTCTTGGAATCTTTTATTTTCTTTTTCAATTTCTTCTAAGAGCAATAATGGTTCAGTAGATGGCCCATACTCCCTAATGACCTTTTCAACAATTTCTTGGGAATAGCCCATGGTTTTAAAAAAGTTTACGAGGATGTTGTATTCCATTTCCTCAGTAGTGTCCTTCACATCTGGACTTAAATTTTCAGGATCAGCAGAAGAATCAGATAAGTCAATGATTACACTTCCAGCTAATGTCTTACCGTCATGTAGAAGCTCCCCCTCTTGAACGTTTTCCAAAGAAAACTGTTTCTTGGTATGCCTTTCTTCAGAATCAGAAAATCTCCTTTTGTGACAAATTCTGTCTTTGGAAAGTGCCTCTTCATCTGGGGTTAGACCATTTATTGGAACAAAAAGGACATCTTGCGAACTAGAAAAGACCGTGTCCATTTGTTTTGTAAGCTCAGAAACAGGAGTGCCAGCTTTATTTCTTGCATCTTCCTGCAAAACAATTTCATCTCTGGAAATATTCAGCCCTGTGGCAGCACTCTGTGGAAACTCTGCTTGTTTAGAATCTCTAATTTCAATAACATCATCATCTCCCGTTTCAAATAAATTCTCACCTTGTGTGAGTGTCAAAAGCTCTTTTTTCAAGGAAGTGGGCAAAATCAACAAGTCCATTGTATAGTTATCTGCACGAGCTTCAACAAATTGTTTAAATTCCCTTTTCACCTCGGATTCTTTCTGACTGTTGGGTAGGTTCTCATTATTCTCAAAGAGTTTTACAAACTGCTGAATGTGACTCCTAGCCATGACCACAGCTTCGGCACTTCCTCTGATGCCAAGAAGACCAATGTCCAGAATGCAGAGATCAGCACAGGTGTCCTGAATCAAGCTCTTCAGAAACAGGCTCTGAGCCCCAACAAAAATGCAGTGCATGGCCTTGGGGTAACATTCTCTTTCTTCTAGTTCAGGCTCACAGATTCCTTTAATATATTCCTGTGAAGAGGAGATAAGAAATTAGATCAATTTACAAAAGCTCTTTACAGCACCCATTATGTTACACATGTAATTACAAATGTCAAGCTGTACAAAAATCAAAAGCATGCTAATAACTTGGGAAAAAAATGCCATGTTCTAAATAAAAGATTCAAGATAACAGATGTAAGTTGCTTAATCATTTCCGTTGCCCTTGAAAACTTTGCCTTTAAGTCTAAAAAGCAGGTGTTCGTAACATTTTCAATAATATATCTTGCAATGTGATCTTTGGGGTCTGCCCAACTGCAGTGGATAAGGACAAGACTGGACTTACTTACATCTATAAAGAACAAACATTTTTGCTTGCTACCAGGCATTTATTGATACAATGACATAATTAAGAGATAAGATAACCAAGTCAAACAATTACTCCAGAATAAACCTTGACTTTTGCTTTGCTACTACTGCCCTTAGTTTCCAGATAAAACAAAGAGAGATTCTGAAGGCCTTAAAAACAAAAACAAAACAAAACAAAACCCCACAATTTTTTCCCCAGCTGGCTGGAACAATGCATATTTTATATAATTTTATGTCTTTTTTTTAATAGAAAGGCCACACTGTTTAAATGTAGACCTAAATATCAAGAACCAGAGAGTGCTGAACAGTACTGCTCCTCTCAGATAGAAAACCAGAGTTTCTAGTAAATTTGGTATTAAACAAGGCCTCAGTGAGGTAAGAAAGGAAACTGGGTTCTCCACCAATTAGGTTGTTCCCAGAGGCCTAAGTGTGAATGACGTGAACACTGAAAACGCATGCACACACACAGGCATGGTGGGATACACTTAGTAACATGGGCACTGGAGTCCGTTCCTGGGCTCAAACCCCAGCCATGGGGGTCTGGGGACCTTGCTGCCGTTCCGCAGCCCCTCTAACCCCATGTCCCCAACTGTAAGAGCAAGAGGAAGACGGTGCAATCCCAGGTGTTTTGAGGAAATTCGAGGAAATAATAAAGTTCTGACGACACCGTCTTGCATCTAGTAAGTGCTTCCTGAATAGTAACACTCCTAACTTATTATGGACATTTATAAGAAATGAGCCTGGCAACACATGACCCATACTTGACACAAAAACCAGAATGGTGCTCCCCGAGATGGTGCTACTGAAGAGCTCAGTGTGTGCGGCACTGGGTGCCGGCGAGGCTCTGGGGCCCTGCCCCCACTGCCTGCTTGGTGTCACAGTGGTCACACGACTTCAGGGAGAACTCATACACCAATCCCTTGTTCACACACGTAGAACATTCCTGTGAGTAGATGAAACTCCAGAAACAGGAGGAAAATGTCGCAGAGGAAAAGCCTGATCTAAGCTGTATAATGTTTAGTCATGAGATCTTTGCTTCCTTATGTCCCCTGGATAAACCTGGAGTGTCGGTGGGCTTGGTGGTAAAGACGGGAGATGACTGGTGGACACAGGAGTGCTGGTTGTTTATTAGAGCAGCCTGCTATTTTTGTGACACGGTAACTGCGTTAAACACAAAGTACAGTAACCAAACATCCTTTTTTCCTGGATGTGCAAGCAGAGTGCTAAATATTGATGTCAGCATCCCTGAACACCTCCAAATGGACATTCTGCTACCACTTGTTTGAACCTATGCTGCATTTAGGTTGTGTTTTGAAGTTGTTTCTCTTTAAAAACCATTTTTATTTTGAAATAATCCTAGGTTTCCAGGAAGCTGCAAAGACAGGACATAAAGGTTCTGTGTACTCTTCACCCAGTCCTCTCCAATCAGAACTTGTATCTTACCTAATCACAGCACAGTATCAAAATCAGGGTACTCACACTGATACAGTGTGTATATAGTTGTGTGCTATTTTATCACATTCAAGCAAATACCACTGCAATCAAGATACAGAATTACTCCATCACCACAAAGATTACCTTCATGCCACCCCTTTTTAGTCCTATTTACCCCTACTTCCACCCACACCATCCCTACCCCCGACAACTGCCAATCTGTTTTTGTCTCTCATATTGTGACTTCAAGACTGTTATATAAATAGAATTATACAGTTTCTGCCTTTTGAGATTGGTCTTTTTTTTTTTTTTTTTTTTTATTTTTTAAGATCTTATTTATTTCACAGAGAGCGAGAGAAAGCACAAGCAGGGGGAGCAGCAGAGGGAGAAGGTGAAGCAGGCTCCCCATTGAGAGGGAGCCCGATGCAGGGCTCAATCCCAGGACCCTGGGATCATGACCTGAGCCGAAGGCAGACGCTTAACCACTGAGCTACCCAGGCGCCCCAAGACTGGCCTTTTTCACTCAACATGATGCTCTTGAAACCCACCCAAGCTGTTGCATTTATCAAGCTCATTCCTTTTTATCGCTGAGTACTATTCCATGATACAGATGACCTATAGGTTTTTAACCACTATCTACCAAGTGGCATTTTGGTTGTTCCTGTTTGGAGCTATTACAATGAAGCCACTATGAACGATTTTCATGAACAGATTTTCATTTCTCTTTCATTAACTTCTCATTTCTCTGGGATAAATGCCCAGCAGTCCAACTGCTGGGCCATATGGTAAGTGCATGTTTATATTTCAAGGAACTGCCAAACTGTGCTCCAGAATAGTTCTACCATTTTACATTTCCACTAGCAATGTATGAGATCGAGAGATCCAGTTTCTCCTCATCCTCACCAGCACTTGATATCACTACTATTTTTTATTTTAGCTGTTCTATTAAGAGTGTAGTATGTCTCACCATGGTCTTAGTTTATATTTCCCTAATGGCAAGTGATGTTGAACATCTTTCCACGTGTTATCTGCCATCTATATTCCCTCTTCGGTGAACTCTCTGCTCAATTTTTTGGTCCATTTTCTAACTGGAATATTTGGGTTTTATGTTGGGTTTTGGGAGTTCTTGATATATTCTAGAAAGACAGGAGTCCTTTCTCAGATATGCAGCTTACAAATATTTTGTTCTATAGTTTGTTTTTTCATCCTCTTGACAGGGTCTTTTGTGACAGGAAAAGTTTTTAATTTTAAGGAAGTCTAGTTTGTTGGCTTTTTCTTCACCAAGCCCCAGGTCTCAGAGATTTCTCCTATGTTAATCTTCCAGAAGTTTTACATTTAAATCTACAACCCATTTTGAGTTGGTTTTCGTATAAGATGTGAGATTTAGGCTGAGGTTCATGTTTTTGCTTATGGATATCTAATTCTAGCAATGTTTCTTGAAAAGACTATCTTTCCTCTAATTACTTTTGCAGGTGTCAAAAATCAGTTGGTCATACTTGTGTCAGGCTATTTCTGGGTTCCTATTCTGTTCCACTGACTTAAGTATCTATCCCTTCACCAATGCCACACAATCTTGATTACTGTAATTATATAATGTCTTGAAATTGGATAGTAATAGTAACTGCTATTTTATTAATTTTAAAATTGTTCTTATTCCAGTTCCTTTGCCTTTCCATATAAATTTTAGAATAATCTTGTTTAGCTATCGTTTAGCAGTTCTGTTAAGCTAGCACACTGACTTGAGGATAACAGACATTTGCTGAGTCTTCTGTAAGAACAAAGTCTGTTTCTCTAGATCTTTGCCTTCTTTCATCAGTGTTTTATAATTTTGAGCATACAAACCCTGTATATCCAAATATTTCATTTTTTGGAGTGACTGAACATGGCACTCTATTTTAATTTTGATTTCTATGTGTTCACTGGTACTAGAGACAAATAGATTTTGATCATGTATCCTATGACCTTGCTAAACCTATTTCTAGTTCTAGGATTTTTTCTTATAGACTCCTTAGGATTTTTTTCTTTTTTTTTTTAATAAGATTTTACTTATTTACTTGAGAGAGCATGCACACAAGTGGCGGGAGGACCCTGAGATCACAACCCGAGCTGAAGGCAGACACTCAACCAACGGAGTCACCCAGGTGCCCCTATGATGTTAGATTTTCATATACTTAAAAAAAAATCATGTTGAGGAAGTCAATCTGTATTCCTACTTATCTAGGAACAGGAATATGAACAGGTACTGAAACTTGTTAAATGCTTTATTTACTGTATCAACTGTTCTCATGTGACTTTACTTCTCCAGCCTGTTAATATGGTAGGTTGCACTGACTGATTTTTTGAATACTGAACCAGCCTTGTATCCCTGGAATGATTGCCACTTGGTCCTGATATGTAAATATATTGATGAATTCTACTTGCTAATATTTTGTTAAGAATTTTTGCATCTTTTGCAACTATATTCATGAGGGACTTTAGTCTGCAGTTTTCCACTTTCGTACCATCTTTGTCTGGTTTTAGCATCAGAATAATAATGAGTGAGTGAAGAAGGAAAGTATTCTCTCCTCTTGTATTTTCTAGAAAAGATTGTGTAGAATTGATGTTAATTCTTTCCAAAACATTTTGTAGACTTCTCCAGTGAAACAATCTGGACCTGGAGATTTCTTTTTCTTTTTAATAGTCCTATTTTTAAAATTTCTATTGTTATGTTAATCACCATACATTATATCATTAGTTTTTGATGTAGTGTTCCATGATTCATTGTTTGTGCATAACACCCAGTGCTCTATGCAGAACGTGCCCTCTTTAATACCCATC